ATTTACTTATTTTACTAAAACTGCTAGAACTTAAGACACCTAAACCTGTCACATCCAAGCCTTACAAAACTTTTCCAATGCATTTACCATGAGCTTATCCCTAGCCAAGATGCAGAAGCTACTTCATGTCTACATCCTCTTCCACCTTTATACTGTTGAAGAACAGTAAAATAGTTTTGCTTGAAGCAAAACTAGCAAAGGACACAGGAGGGGTTGAGGCCAGGGAGGAAGGCATACAGTAAACTCCCATATACTACACAAACTGTAGCTATTTTATTATTACAGAAATGCCTGTATAATTTTATTCATGATTTGTTGGTATTAAAACCAACATTTTTTTTAACAAAGTCCTTTCAATGTAAAGTATCACTTTGTGAGAGGTCAGTCTTCTCTCAGAGCAGCATCTCCGGAGAACAGAGTCCCATTAGCAAGTGTTAGGTACACACAAAGACAAAATTCAGCTATTGCTATATAGATCTTACCAGAACAAGAGCCATGACAAGGAAGGGGAACAAGAAACAGTTCTTCTCAAACTACACACATACACTGTAACTGCTAAAACCTGCTTTTCTTACTTAATTGTAACTTCTAGGTCAGAGATGTCAGTACTTTACCTTAAAAAGAAAAGGAGCTAGACAGCAGCCTGGATCTAGCCACACCCCTATTTTTCATTCTTTCTATGCATGATAGCTGTGAAGTTTCAAACACAAGCTTTAGAAAGATTTCTGATTTTCAGAATCTTCCAGCAAGAAGGCTGTCCCATTAAGGTAACAGTTCATTAATACTACTGAGGACTCTTAACAAGCGATAGTAATTTAGAATGTCAACTAAAGAAGCAATGAAACTAAATGTTTAAATAATAAAAAATACTGTTCTGCTGAACATTTAAAAACATTGGTGAACTGAAAGCATATAGTCAGCCAGTGATTCCATTAAGAATAAAAAAGCATTCATGAATGTGTTAATTCCTATACTTAATTAATTCCTTAGATTCCAGAACTCTGTGGTACTAACCAAATTCAGACAGAAACTCACAAGTTTGATTTTTTTTTTTTGCCAGAATCAAGAAGGGTACTTGGTAAAATTGTCGTCTAACAAAACTTGTCTTCAGAAAAGAATAGATTTTCCAAGGTAATACATGTCACTCCAACTTGAATATGCAACATGTAAGAAAAGTGGACACATAATAATGGACTAATTAACACAGTGTTATAGACTTGATGTCTAGACAAGATAAGACATTTCAAGAATCCCTGCTACCCGTGCTCAAGAAGGAAGAACAAAGAGATAGCCTTTTGTGTAACACTGATGCTGAATAGCTCCAATAATTAATTTAACACCAGGGACATATTTGTCATCACTTCTGAAAAAAAACACCACACTTCAGCACATTACATACTAAAAGCATAAGCTGATCCTTAACTATATAAAACCAGAAACTAAACAACTCCTAAATACTACCTTAATGCATCATGCATGCTATTAAATGCAAAGATATTTTAAAAGTGCATGAAATGGTTACATTAGCAAATGATAGACATTCATTGATCCTGACATGCAGAAGCAAAATTCACTACTATGCTGTTTTCAAGTAACCAGACCAATCTTTTAAGCATCTGTTTAATGGGGTTCTACCTCACCATGCTAAGACAAATGCTCAGACAAAATTTAACACCTTATTTCAAAATTGTAAAAGCAAAGAGGGAAATGCATGTTCAAAAACCTAAGGAAACACCTAACTTCAAAAAAAAAAAACCCTAACCAAACAATCAAAAAACATCCCAATCCAGAAAGCTAATTATCTCAGTATTCTGTTTTTTAAAAAAATCTCTCCAAAGCTTTTTATTATAGCCAGAACACTAAAAAACACATCATGGGATATATTAAAACATGAGACACACATCAATGCTGCAGAATTTCCACTCTATGCAGAAACACAAAGATTGAAAACACTGCACCTGGATTGAAGGGAACAGTTTCCAGAGTACCTGCCATGCAAAAGTGCCAGAAAAAAACTATTCTTCCAATCATTAAGTGTCAGAGCCAGAGGGTTCTAGGAAATGAACCCTTCCTTCCCTGAGAGCAGCAGAGCCCACTCCCAGTGAAGCAGGTCCCAAGAGCAGGGGACCACACCAAGGAGCTGGGACTCTGCAGCTCAAGAATGCAGACAGAAAGCTGTCAAGAGAAGCAGCAAGCAGACATCGCATCCTTGGTGGAAAGAAACCATGTTCTGGAATGCAATGGCAGCTGAACTCAAGACACTGGAAGAGAGGCTGCCCAGGGAAACAGCAGAGCCTCCTTCATTGCAAATATGTGTATTTGCACAGTTTGACAGAGAGGCTCAGTTTGACAGAGCCCTGAATAACCCGATCTCTGTTTCGAGGACATTGGCTGGGATAAGTCCTACACAACCTAGGTGTTTCCACAATAATGTCACTATGCCTGTTGTTTCAAAGATTAGACTAAAACTGTTCAGGATCTGCAGTTCCAGTTCAGAAATGTTTTCAAGCATCTGTGCATCTGCAACCATATCCTTCCTTTCTAAGTAATATTGGCACAATTCACATTAAATATATACTTCAAAGTTTTTCTAGTTTGGGAGTGACACAGATAATTCTTGGCTCTGTTTAAACAGTGTCTGGATTTTTCCAAGCCTTTATCCATGAGCACAACTTCTAGTTTCCTCTCTTTGTGTCAGCTTCAGTTAATATTTGCAAAGCAACTGCAGACTCCTACAAGATAGTCACTATATAGCACAGCAACTAGCTCTTGGTTTGACACATTTTTCCCTGTCATCATCAGCACAAAGGACTTATTTTTTCTTCAAATGACATGATTTTACACGAATGTTCACAGTAAGTCCCCCGTCAAATAAATAACATACAGCCATTTTCTTGATGAGCCACGGTGATCATTTACAATCACGCTTCATTTAAAATTCGGAAACTGGCAATTGTGTTATTATAGCTCAGAGAAAAGGCAGAGGCAACTTTACAAAAGAGTGATATGAGCGATACACAAGAAAGTGAGATGGACTAATTTAAAACAGAACACCTGTATGAATATTTCATTCAATTGCTCAAGGGATATTTTTGCTTGTTTTTCCTAAGAGAAAAAACAGACTATATCACAAGCTGCCACCTCCCACCTGCCCAGGGCATCAGACTGCCTCTGTTTCTCTGCTGCACAGCAGTGGATTTGCTCATTGCAACACTATGCATGTTCTGTCAGCACAGTTTTTTTTGCCTCTGGGTTTTCCTGAAACAGTACCATCCTATGAAGTAAAAGTACATATTTGGAAAATTTTGCTCCTTTTCCAGGTTAGAGCTTTGGAGACAAACGGATATGGAGAGGGCAAAGCAAAGGTGGCTTTATCAGGAATCTGGAACAGCTAAGACATACTTAGCAGTTGGGCTGAGAATAATTATGAACCAAAAAGCAAACATCATTAGATCTGGTGCTCCAAGAAACATTTAGGAGATAGAAGTAGAGGAGGTTCAATGGGTCAAACCTCACTTCCTCAAACATTAGCTGGGCCCTCACCAATCCTTTAACATGTAGCTAGTGGCACATGCCTTGTCTGACTTCATTTCTTACTTATTTAAAATACCTTAATAGCTGTCCAGTGAATACCAAAAAACAGCCTCTTGAAAACTTTTGTAAACACAATAGTGTACAAATTTCTGCAGACTGATTCCATATATAGTAGGAAAATTCACATTATTTTACTATTATGACTCATTATGATATTCTTGCTGGTTATGAAAATCACCAGGTCTATCACAACAATTTTTTTAAAAATCCAGAAAATTTAACTGCAGATCTAGAAGTTAATTTTAAATATTTATGTGAAAAATATGTAGATCATTTTCCAGTCATAATTTTTAATGATTAAATAATTATCTTGTCTAACACTTAAGAAATTCACAGTACCTGGTTTAAAAGAAAACAAGCACCTTGTTCACTTCAGTAATACTTCCAGCATCATTCTAGAATCTTATTTAAATTCTGCAGAAGCTGACAGCTTCAATATTCAAATGAACAACAGGAGAAACTGGTTGTGCAAAATCCAAATCTAAGTTATTCCTCAGGCTTTTCTGAACTAAGTTCCTAAATATATTCCATTTTACAGAACATAATCTAGATTTCCCTAGAATTAAGTGCAAACTCTACCAAACACAGTAGCATTAGACCATATGGCAAGCAATACTTGGGTTTTATATCCAAATTTTCATCTGTTTTCACTATAACCGTGTCCTTAGGGCCTAGGGAAATTTAACCATAGATTCACCAGCATACGGCTAACTAATCATAACAGCTATTTTTAAAAAAAATCTGTTCCTAGTCTGAGTATATTTTTTCAGTTTGTCATTTTTAGAAAGTCCTAAGTTTATGCATTTGGTCCTAGCTCTTTTAAGCCATTTGTGACCCTATGATCAGACACAAGGGGATAAACCAACTGCATCTTGACTCTCATAGTTACAGCACACTCTGTTAAACTCCATCCCTGCCAGACCCTGCACACACGGAAAGCTGTGCCCACCATGAACATGATTATGTAAAGTCAATATTAATAGAATAAAAAAAAACCAACAAACAAACAAACAAACAAAAAAAAAACCACAAAAAAACCCCCAAAAATCAAAACCAATTGAGTAGAAAGCTGGTTTTCAAGGGTCAGTAAAAAGGAATAGTGCTGCAGCTCAGCAAATGGCTTCACAGGCAACTGAACAAAGGCCACTAGAATTAAGAGGCAGTCATTGTCTTAGCTTGCGAAACAGCAGTTGTTGCATCTAAGTTGCAGAAAACTACCATTAATTTCCATGTGCAGATAAATGCCATGGCTCCTCAGAATTAAACAGTTGGAAATGTTACCACATCATCTTGAAAAATCAAATTACACGCATATTACACTCCAAGGAGGAGGAAAAAATAAATCAAGGTAATTTTACCAGAGCAAAACATTATTGAATTAGTGACAAAATGCCAGGAAGACTCACCTGTTCAATCTCCTTTGTCTTAGCTGCAATTGCTTTTGAACGACTAAGAAGCTGGCTGTCCTCATGTAATTCTGTACTATCTGTTAGGTTTGCTTCTGTTTCCTCTGCTTGCTCAATGTATAATGGAGCTGAAGAACCAGCCTTAAAAAAAAAAAATTAATTCAGTTTTCAGAGAAAAATAAAAACTGCAGTGTGAGGAAAAAACCCAAAAAGCCCCAGCACAGTCACCAGAGATACAAGTTTGCTCATCAAGACTATTAGTGACAATTAGACTATTGCAGCAATTTTGCTGCAACTGCTGCAATTCTAACAGATAAAGAAATATGGGTTTTAAACATGTAGAAAAAACATGACACAATAAAACCCCCTGTGACACAGCCTTAACTGTGTGAAGGCAATGCTGTCAGATAACCTCTACTGGCACATCCACTGAGGAAAAATTTGTGTATGTGGTATTTGTAACACCAGAAAGCAAGAAAAATCCACAATGAAAATGTGATTAGCCTTCTGGGAAAAGATAAAACTAACAAAATCAAAGGTACATAGGCATCAACAAAATAAAAATGCAGTCAGAGAGAACTCCAAAAGCATTCAGGGCCACAGGTCTATTATTAAAGGAACTGCAATGACTATTGCATAGCAAAAGCAAACCTGTGAGTTGAAGATTTCTAGTAACATGAAAAAATCAGACTGAAGTACAGGAATTGTATAAACTTCCCTCTAAAATAGAAATTAAGACTGCACTCCTACTCCAAAGAAAGCAGATGCCATTTTGTTTCATGGCATTACTTAAATTTGGTACTATGGAACAATCTTATAATTTTTTTTTAAAAATAGGATTTGAAAAATGAAGATGAAAACTAGTTTCTATTATTCAAAAATAAAGGTGAATAATCTTAAGACTTAACTAACATGAGAGAGAAAAGCATTAGACAGAAAAAGTAAGCAAAAAGCTTAAGTGGTGCTGTGAACATATGCTCAAACCTTAGCAGCAACACAAACCAAATCTTGCTATCCCAGTAAAGAACGAAATGCCTGAGAGTGAGTGAAGGCTACTAAAAATGCTCAGTGAAACACGAAGTTCAACTACTAAGCACTTCGTAAGATAAACAGGAAAAAGTTAAGAATTCTTGCCCACTAATGTGACAGGTGAGAAGTCCTTTCTTCCAAGACTCAAAATGAGACGCCTCACCTCCTTCATTAGCATTTCTACAGCCCACTTTTCTTAGTCAATAAATCATCTTAGACTGTACCACAATCAACTACAATTGCTTCACTTCAATTCCACACTGCAACTTTCTCTGAGGTGTGGAGGATGCTTTAAAGACCGTTTCTCCATGTGGCCCACTCTATTCTTTCCTCCCCTGCATTACGTTCCCCTCATCAAGAACCACAGTGATAGTTCTCTGCTGAACCTCTCAGAAATGTCCGCGCATTTGTTCTCCTTCATATGGTATTCATCCTTGGATCAGCCGCTGCTTTTTCTTCACTCTAACACTTCCTCCCCCTTTTTCTTTTTTTAATTGCTTTTTTTTAATTGCTTTAAAAGCTTTTAGATGTTTTATGTATCTAACTAGATCTTCCTGACCACTATTGAGGAGCTGATCATGCATTCACCATTACATCAATGGACAGGACTTGAAAGTTCAGATAAATACGGATTCCGGGAGTTCATTTCTCTAACCTAGCCCTTACATTCTACAAGTGGAAATGTGATGCTTCCCAAGACACATTCATTTTACCTAAAATTATTTACAAACAAATTTAAGAAAAAAAAAATCAAGCCCACTATTTGGAAAGGTTACAACATGACTTTGTGAAGTAGACACTATTTTGCTTTTTTTAAGAATGCCTCTAAAGTTGAAACAAAGTGAAAGAGAAAATTATCACAGAATTAAAACAGATTAGTTTAGATTACATAGTATTCAGGTTATTTTAAATGACAAATACATTTTCCACTAACGTAACAGAACCCAAAAAAGACATCCTATCCAAGAGTAGTATAACAAATGACTGAGAAGGGCTATAATCACACTTCAATATAGCCAGGAGTAGAAGACAAGGAGAGGTGAAAACAAAAGGGAATAAACTAGCAAATAATTAATGTTGATTAATAATGAAATAAGGATTCTGGGGAAAACAAAAAATATACCCACTGCAGGAACAAGGTACGCTTTATTTTTAATATAATGGAGGCTTGCTTTCTGAAAAAGAATCCATGACATGGTAGGCTGGCACAGTTTGAAACAGAACTCAACAAACCAGAGTTTCTCTCCCTAAGTGTTGTGTTTTACATGTACACTCATGTTTTGACTCAGCCTAATTTTAAGGAGTTCAGTAGGCATACAGACCTACACTACTACAAGAGCTCCTAGAAGAATGCTTGGGAGAGCTGAAACTTTGTCATGTCAGTTGTAGCTCAATATCAAATCAAATAATACTAACCAAATGTACTGTGGCTTTGTGCATTTTTTCAAAATAAATAAATCACCAGGTTCTAGTCTCCCTCTCATTCCCCTTCAAAAATATTTAATAGCATAAGCAGAAAAATTCAAGATTAAGTTACAAAATCTGCCTTTATGAACAATACAGAAAAACAAGAGCCTATTGTAACTCTTTGAATTAAGAGGATTAATAATCCTATCTTACATCATACTCTGTTATCTCAGGTATATTGCTTTCCTCGGCCTTCTCTGACTTTTCAGCTGCCCACTTGCTTGCAGCTTCTGCAAGTTCCTTTTCTGACAGTCTGTTGCTCTTCTCCAAGGCCTGTACAAAAACATTATAGTCAAGGTTTAACATGAAATACATTTATACATAGAAAAATCTTCAAAATTAAAATAAACAGTTATTCTGATCCCTAAAATATTTTAAAATAGGAAATAAGAAAGTTGAGATTATTTCATTTGCTGTCCAATTTCTTTAAAAAAAAAAGTGGGGGGGGGACCAAGTAGATAGTAAAGAAACAAGAGAGGAGAAAAAACAAGATAAATCCATGAAGGTCAGTGAACTACTACAAAACATTATACTCTCTGAATAAGATTTATTAAATTCACAGGTCAGAGATAACAGAAAAAATATTTTTGAGACCTGTTAGGCATTGAAAGAAGTCAGATACAAGAGTGGAGTGAACTAATAATTGAATGTGATTTTCAGGCATAAAAGGTTGTAAAAAAATTAAAACAAACTGTAAAATACTAGGTAGGGTATAAAACCTGAGCTAATTAAGGACAAAAAAATATTTCATACAAACTTGAAGTGATCAGAGCTGCTTCCATTAAAACCCATTATTTTTTATTTGGGGGAATGCTAATAATTTATAATAGAGTCAGTCATGGCATTATATTCTTTTAAGTCTACCTATTCAAATGGAAATCCTCACATAAACAATGTTTAAAAATTGATTTCTCTCTAATAATACTATTTGGCTTTTACTATCAGAGCAGCAAACAGACAATGACAAATATCAGTCTAGCTAGCTTTATAAATCTTGATGCCACTTTGCGGATATTTAACTTAAATCAACTGTACATACAGAAGCACCCAAAGAATCTATATCTAGCATTAAAAATTGCAACACTAAGATGTCTATCTGAAAAAGAGTCACAAAAATTCTACTGCCTGAAAAAGGCCAAAACAACTTCTGCCCAATGCCTGTTCCATCTTAGCAAACAGGTAGACAAAAAAGCGCAAACAAACAAAAACCCAAATGAAAGAAACCAACATTCTACCTCTTACCATTAGCTCATTCTAAGTTGCATAAATGGCCAGTATCAAAATTCCTTTGTCTTCACATCTTTTGTGCTTACCTCAAGCAAAGTGGTAATACAAAAATACACAATTCACAGAGCCCCTCCAGGATTCTGTGTCATAAAGACACCACCTTAATCTGAATCCAGAAGAGAAGAGCAACACAACGTTCCAATAGGAATCCCTGTTTTCTATAACTGCAAATTACAGAATTGCAACCAGTGAAGTCAGGAGGTGACGAAGTTCAATATGCAGAGATATGAAAAGGGCTCTTAAAAGAACGGAGTAATATATTTCATAGAAAATCTCAAATAACCTGCTATTATTTCCACAAGCCATAAAAGAAATTAACTATTAATAACTACTGGAATACAGAAAAAAAAATCTGTTTAATTTAATCTCACTGAATTTAATTCTTTAGGTTGAATGCTGATAAATACATATTAAACCCTGCATGAATTTTATGGAATAAAGTAATGGTATTTGCACAGGTATGCCTCAGCTGAAGAGACAGAGCAGGAGCATATTTCTCAGCTGAAAATAGCAGCAGATATTTAGGCTGCAAACTTGCAAGAAACAACCAACCTAATAGATTTCAAAAAAAAACCCAAAAAACTAAACTGCTGCACCCCACCCTCCCACCTGAAAACAGAAGTCTTTTTTTTTTTGCATTTTTTAATCTCATCAGTAACATGGAAAAGCTAAAGCCTGAGTTTGCTCAGCAGCTGTTCCTGTCTCACACATCCTTTTGCCTTATGTTGGATACAGCCTCCAAGGCTTACAGTCTATAAGGGTAATAAAGAAAAACAAAAGATTTCATGCCATAGTCAAACAGGTGGCTAAGATCAGGTAACATCAACATGTATTAATTCAAATGCATGAATATGCAAAAAATAATTATAGATAAAAATACCTTTTCAGATTTCCAAATAGATACTACAGTGAAAAGAGGTATTGCTATGGAAACATACACCTTTGTAAAAATTTCAAAGCTAAATTATAACTTAGAGCATTGAAAATAATATCCTTTAATTGCTAATATATAGCATATAACTGATTTCTCAAGCCTTGATAAATTGTAAGACTCTGGCTCTGGAGATGTTCATGTTTTGCCAAGACTACTTCTGAGTCAGTGAAGCACTTAGGTAACTTAACTGCTCAGTGCAACTCCAGCCAAAAGGCTCACTCCAAAAGGCTCCACTGACACAGGGCAGTTACAATATAAGCAGATTTGGGGACTCAAGAGAAAAATCAATAAACAGTCATGGAAGTACTTCCATTTCTGCTTCTGATGCACACCCAATAAATATTTATGCTGTCTGGGGAAATGACTTCCACCAAAGAAAGTTTCATTTTGCATGGCCTGTATCAAGTGGATATCCACTGCCAGCAGATGCTTGCAAACTGATGGCAAAAAACCAATACAACTGACTGAGAAGAAAGCAGAACACTTACAGAATACAGAGTTCAAGCTCACATACTAACACAAAAGCAAGATTTTGCAATGCCTCTTTGTTCTCAAAGGTGTGTATTAAATAAGGATTTGATATTAAGCTGCAGTGTGCTGAGTGTATAAGCACAATAGGTGAACTAATTATAAAGTGTATTTTATGAACCAAATCAGCATAACTTGTGCATAATAGCTTTTATCTCATTTTCCCTTATTTTACATCACTGAAAAATACATTACTTGCCTCCCCCCTTAAGGACAATGGCAATCAGCTGGCAGAGCAGTTCTAAAAGAGAGGTGTAAGAGGTAAGTACTTAGAATGACATAGCACAGCCAAAGCCTGGGTTTTTTCCCCACTGAATAACATGCAGGTGTGTCTGTGTCAAAATAAGTGGTAATACTAACATATTCACAACAACACAGAATTCTAAGACCAAGTCCTACTTCTATTGTAAGGAATAGGAAGTAATATTGTAAGGAATATGTACTTTAACAGGTGAATGCACACTCTCCTTCCAACTAAGGAAAAAATCCAAGAATGAACAATCTAAAACTATGGTGTGAAGTAGTCAAAAAGAAAATTCACCTTTGATGAAGGTACTGCTGTGGACCCTGAAGGTGATGCATCTCTTGATGTTTTCAGTGACTGACCTGTCCTCTCTTTACCTACAATTAAGAAAAAAATTAATGACTGAGAAATTAAAGATATATATATTGCAAATATGCTTACTGGCTTAGAAAAATTGCAGTGTAATTTTATGATGTCAGACATGAACCTTATCACCCTCAACAACTACCTGACAGGAGGTTGTAGCAAGATGGGAGCTGGACTCTTCTCCCAAGCAACTACTGACAAGAGGAAATGGCCTCAAGCTGTGCCAGGAAAGGCTCAGGCTGGACATCAGGAAGAATCTTTTCACTGAAAGAGTGGTTAAGCTTTGGAACAGCTACTCAGGGAGGTGGTGGAGCCACTATCCCTGGAGGTGTTCAAGAAATGACAGGACATGACATTTAGTGCCATGTCAACAGGGTAGTGTTTGGCCAAAGGTTGGACTTGATCTTGGAGGTCTTTTCCAACCTTAATGTTTCTACAATTCTATAAAATCTACATATTCCACCATCTGACAAATATTAGTAACACTTTTTTTCTCTTCCTAAGTAGAGAAAAGATACAGCTGTGTCATTTAATGCCTTTAAGAAAATCCAGTTCTTTTTTCCATCATTAACTGTAAAGTTGTTATCAGTAGGATTCCGTAAGATGATGTGATTTCACTTTTTAATATTCTTGCAATAATATAAAAATGAAATATTAGACACCAGTCACTCACTCAAGGTAATCAGGTAGTGTATAAACTAGTTTAGCAGGCCACAGTATGTTGAAAAGACCTGCCATGGGAAACAGTCCTGTACTGTATCAGCCACAGAGTAGATGCTCCTTGTAAGATCACTGTCTTTCTTATGAGAGTTAAAATTGGCAAAATGTCAAATCAAATTCACAGTGCTAATCACAATCTGTGTACAGTCTTGCCACAGACCAGTTTCAGGCAGCCCACAGCAACAGAACTGGTTGCAGTGTAAAGTACTAGTTTTCAAGTTGTGGTCCACAGATTAAATCTAAAAGATCTGAAAAAGGTAAGTACAAAAAGCAAACATATTTTAAGTCGGTCTAAATTAACCAGACTATTTACACTCACTGCAGAAACAGTTGACTGATCACAAACAAGCCAAGGTAATGTAAACTTACCTTGGCTTCCATTAAATTTTTATAAATACAATTAATAATGGGATACATTTAAAAATCTATCAAATACTTATGAAAATTGGGAGAGAAATTATTTTTGTATAAATATAAATGTGATTGTTCATTATGGCTTTAAATATGGCTTTAATTTAATGAGTCAAAGCAAGAAAGCACACATTTTTGTCACCACTAAGTAACACAAGTTTTTCTCCCGTGATACGTGCTTTTCAGCCTCATAGACAAGCCACCTCCTTTTAAATTCATGGACTACTCTGCTTCCCACATGCCTGCTTTGTCAGACCAGATTCTTTAAAGATATCTCAGTTAAATGGGTTATATGTTTGCACCTGAACAGATGAAATTAATTGATACAAATGGCAGAAAATTATTTAAAGTTAAGCGAAGTTGAAAAAATGCCATTTAATTAGAAGACATAATTAGGCCATTTTTTTCAGAATGTGTGTGGCTCTTTTGAGCATCAAAGCCCTACCTGTAAAATTAAACATGACACTCTTCAAGCACCAGTATTCGCCTTCTTGCATTTCCTCAGCACACCACTCTACTGACCCCTTCGTGCCTGGGCCCCTGAAGGAATACCATCCTGCTTCTCTCCAAGCTCTCCCATCACAGATGAATGCTTGCCCTTTCCCTTAGCCCTTTCCCTCCCTTTACCAAGCTACTTCATGTCCTTGCAGTTTTCTTTGGTTAAATTCTGTATTTATCCTGATGTATGAAGTGTGGTGGAGCATAGGATATTCCTTCTTCAGTGCAAGTCATGTGGCCAAACCAATTCAGATAGCATGATTTTAAACTGCATTATAGTATTTTAGAAAGATGCCATATTGCAAATTCCACATGAAATAGGATATGCTTTGCATGTTGTAAATCCATTTAAATGTACTACTGACATATGAGACATTCCACTAGATGTTCCTGTTAAATATGCGGTACATGAGCTTACCTAAGGCAAACCACAATAAAAAATTATTCTATAAGTATTCTTTAAACCATTTTTACCTTGCAAATAGGTATTTTAATTCAGTCATCTAGAGGGACATTTTAGTAGTCCTCCTTTCCAGGGAAAGGATAAAGAAATAGTCCAGTGTATAACTTAGCTGGTCTCTTAAAACTTACCTAGAGATGACTGAGAAAGGTTTTCAACCATGCAAACAGGAGAAAATATCAAAAACCACAGACCTAGATGTAAGCTCCTCTCTTGATCAGCACCTTTTCTGGTTTGTGAACATATCTGCTTCTATATCACTACCTCCACTATTGTCTGAGTAATTCTATCAATATAGTATATACATATATGATCAAAGTCAGCTCAAAATTAAAAAATAAAAAAAATTAAAAAATGAAACATTCCAAAATTTTGTATGGTTTCTCACAACGTTGTTTTCCTGTCCCTAGTAATTACAAGCTGCACACCTACAAGACTTCTAGAAAATTAGGTAACTATTTTATTTTTTCTTCCTCTCCTACACTTAGAGGAATTTATGTTCACTAAATTCATATTGCTACAAAATGTTAAAAGCACTCTAATGCTCAAATAAAAAGACCCATCTCTACTCTTCAAGGAGTGAAATTATTCCTCAATATTTAAACAATGTTAACTAAATCACAAAGATCTCTTTTGACAAGAAGTGCTGCATAATGGTTCAGTGTCACTCTGGAAACACAATGTGCCTTCTCAGTAAGCAAAAAAAAATCTAATTCATTTTTAAAAAGCTGCCAAAATGAACAGTAGTTTGCATAGTTCACTAGAAAGCATTTGCAGAAAGAGAAATCAAATTGGATTAATTTACATAAGCTGTACAAACAGAGTGGCTAAGACTGTAGTATACTAAAAAAAGTAATTCCTTTTTTTCCCCAAAAAATAATTTAAATATGAAAGCTCAAATATTTTCAAAACAGATGATTCATTAGACTTCTGGGAAACATTAAGAGTCAAGCTTCTAAAAGTCGGAATAGACTAAACTGAGATATGCTTCACATTTCTTTGAGGAGAGCAAGATCTGAGAGGTTTTGACATTGAAATGTAATTGCTAAAAAACAATCAGTTTCAAAAGCCTAGTAAAAATTGGAGAAAATGCAACCAGAAGAAGTATGTTCTTTCACTTCTCCATTTTTTTAAATCCATGTTTTATCCTGGCTGCAGGAAGAAATGTCTTTATCTGCTGTAGATGTAGCAAAGCTTCCTCTCAGGGAATGAAGCACATAAAGAAGTAAAAGGAGCTGATGCTAAAAAGAACATAAAATACTAGAAAAAGCTGTGCAGCTGAAACTCCTACAGTCAGTCTAGACCTGACACCAAAATAACACCTACAATCTCCCACATGAAATACATAAGGGAACAGAGAGTACAATGAAACAACCAGAGCAGACAGCTCATAGACAGCACAAAATGTCAGCTTTTCCCATTTTAAAAAGAGCATATAAGGAAGAGAGGCTTATACAGTGACTTGCAGTTTCACCTCACTAACCAGTTCACATCATTAATCCAGCATTACCTTGCTGAGAAGAAATATTTCTTTTATGTAAAGATGACATACTTCTGCTATGTTGGTGGAAAGGATAGGCTTTGCTTCTTTCAGGAGAGTAGCTCCTGCTGCTGACACTAGAGCCAGATCTGCTGTGCGGAGAATCCCTCCGGCTCCCTGGCGATTCCCTGAAGAAAGGAGAGTCCCTCTTGTGAGGGGATCGATCTCTCACATAATGAGAAGAATAGAAGCTTTTTCTTCTGAAGCCATCTCTGACATCCCTTGGAAGACAACAAAAAATACAAGAAACTTGGTTATCCTTCCAATGTTTACAGTACAGCACATATATAATGGCAACAGTTCACGCCTGGTAAATAGAAACAGTTAACTGTCATCTGCAGAACACATCCAAAATCTTCAGTGTTTTTAAGAGTACTAGGCAAAGAATGAAAAACAAGTAAATAAAGTGAAAAAAAGGGTAATTTTTTAAGATTTCATTATGATACCTCATTGCTAGAAGCTAATTCCTTTTTATTTCTTGATAATACAGCTAAAACGTAAGAAAATGACAATGACAAAATGAGAACTCTCGCAATTTTTTTCATATTTACTACACTTACTACACTTACCCTGGAAATTAAGCCTGAATTTACAATAGCTAAAAATGCATATCCAAATATTGCTTACACTATTTGGCATTTTTCACCTAAGTTTTTCTCTTATTTTCAAGGGAGAATACTCCTCATTTGATTTCAAACACCTTGCTACACAAATATCACTGATGAATTTCAGCTTATATCCAGCAAAGACAAAAAGAAATCTGCAGAATATCTATTCTCTCATCATGAATCCACCCAAGGTCAACTCTTGAATGAAAATATGAAGACTTACATTTCATAAATGTGTTTCTCACAACACACAATATTAATTTTGAACTTTAATGTAAAATGTCACAAAATCAATTGAATTATAACTGTAATTTAACAAACCATAAAACTTTCTACTGAGTTTAAATATTGTTACTCCAGACCACAGCACAAATGTGTTGGTTATTTGTAAATCATATTAATGTACACATAAGTGCAAAGGTGAAAAAAAACCCCTTAGTATAATTTCAAACTTGTCCTAACTCAGAGCTAAAAGATATACGAAGCAACTGAATCTAGACATGTCACTTTTGCCTTGGTCAGAAGATGCATTGGTAAGAATAGGAAGTATTTCTCAGCTTCTCCATAGAAATCTCCAAGATTTCACAGCATTTCTAGTAAATCAGAATGTATATTCTCTCCTATTTCTCATCAGAGTCCAGTATTTTAAATAGGGGAATGTCTCACAAAAATCTGGTGGTCACATTTAGCACAATGTAGCTATAGCTAGTTTTATGTTGGTGGAGAAGAAGATGTACAACTCCTACAGCATGGCACAGGCCCATATTTGTGACTGATAAAAAAGGATTTCCGTGTGCCAAAGGCGTCTTGGGCGATGGAAGCTTCACAGGTAGCACCACAAAACAAAAACCCTGTGACACTGGCGTGTTTTTACACAGAGCAGGTTTACTTGTTGCATGGAAAGCACATCTCCATTATATGTATGAACATTTTATGTAGCTACAGATATGAAGTGTAAATTCAGGCTTGAAGAATACTAGATTAACTCAGCACTGAACTATTTTTCTAGCTAAGTGGGGGGTTATTTATTAAAGAACATATTGATTAAATATTTATCAGGAATTACTTAGGCACAGCCCACTTTTTCTTCCATTTCCTTCTTAATCTCTCTCTTTAAATGTTATTTATTTTTAAATGAGAAGCTTTGTGGCAGACTAGTAAACCACCTTTATGCGTAAAATACACTTTTATGACCATGTTATTAAACCCTCATATACAGAGCAGTTTATTATGGTAGTGTTTACAGAGCCCCAGCTATTGCACATGTATAATAAATGCTCTACTATCCATGTAAGAATTAAAAAAAATATATAATTGAAATGCACTTTCAAACAGGAAAACATTTGAAAGCCACATTCTGCAATAATATTATGCACCCTAAAATAGAATCTCACTTTCAATTTTTGAATTTTTATTTCATCACTGTGTTAATTCTTAATTGAACCATATCTCATACAGAACATTCAAGCCATTAACTATATTAAATCTGTTTGGGAGAGCAGAGCAACAGCACAGCACTTCTGATGTTTTCCATTAATGTAATGCACTGAACAGAACAAAGATAGTATTGTTTTGCAGTTATTTTTTCCTTAAACACTTAAGCTAACATACACCTGCAATTTGGTAATGAAGGCCCCAATTCAGCAAAGTAGTTAAGCACATGCTTCAGATTCTGACACATACTCAAAAGGTTTACTGAGCAGGGACAATATTTAGTAGAGATGCAAAATAGACTTTAAAATAGAGCTACTGCCCTTAACAACGAATACAGAATTAATCTCTTTTAAATAGCATCCCTTAAATCTTTGTATTTTGAGTTCATAATTCACACTTAAGCACAATTTTGTTCTCTCAGCAGTGTTGCAACAGGAAGCAGTATCAGTGTTAACCTTGATGAAACTTGACCATTAAATTCTTACTAAAGCTAACAGTCTTGGAGGAGCCTCTGAACTGTTACAAAAACAGCCACACTGTGATATACCATTCAGCAAGGGCAGCTGGGGAAGAGCTCCACCCTGACAATTATTTCAGTTCACCATAAGTACTGGTTTCCTCAAGGGTAAAACACAACTACACAACAGAAGAAGGTATGACTTTCTGCACAGTAGAAAACCAAGGGAATACAACACTGGGGAGATTTTCAGCTGCCTACAGAACAGAAACAACACAGCGGTATAGCTTAAGCTCTGTGAAACAAAGATGAACACAAACCAATGTGTCAGGTTTATCTCTTCAGAGTACTCAGAGGTAAAATTAAATCACTTCCTGGATGTGAAATGCCCTGGAATAGAGAGGTATATGAAGCACATCACATGCAATAAAGGAAAAGGCTTTACTGAAAGAGGACTTTTAAATCACTCTCATTGAATTTGTGCTACTGGGCAAAAGCCAACAATACTTTGTCCTCACTGTTCTCTGAGACTTCTATATACCATTACATTCAACTTTTCAACTAGAACATTAATCTACGTTATGGTCCAGCCATAGCGAACATAACTCTCACTTTTGACACTGCGCTGAAGACTGGAAACAAAACAGCATATTATTGTGGAACAGAAACAGGAGGGTCTTCCAGGAATTCACAGGTGAGTGCTGTGTATAACCTAGATAAAAAAGTCAACAGGGATGTTTTCATGATCCCTTCCACCCGAGAAAGATTACTGCTATTGCCAAAGGGATTAAACACTCCATTTACAGCCTCGTGCTTAATTACTAACCTTGCCTAGAAATAACTCTCACACTTTTATAAATAAATTGAAGAAGAAGCTATAAATAGCTTTTGCAACACCAGACTTCAGTGCTAAGAGATGAAACAGTCAAGATCTGAACTGAATCCTTAACTGAATATATTTTTTCTGTCTCATAATGCAGATGCAAGGGGGAGGGGGAGGAAAAGTTAAACTAAAATTCCTTTTTGCCTGCCTTTTCAGGACATTGCAAGAGCTAACAATATGAATCACACGATGTAGAAAATATTTAATAAAATATACAACACCCCCAGCCTCTAGAATAGGCAAGAACTCCTCCAATTTTAACATCTTCAAAGTAAATGTAGGTGGTGCAAGATTCCAGCCACCCCTCTCCCAGAACTCATTCAATTTCTTTCCAAAGTACACAGTACATGGTTGTGCAACACATCAACAACTTATTCTTCTGCTCTGGAGATTTGCTATAATCTCCTATTAATGTCCAAAGGTCCTTATGCAAATTTATCCTAAATTCAAGTAATACAGTGAATTACACCATCATACACAGAACCATTGCACCTGGTTCCAATGGCTTTCATCTGAATATTTGAAATGATGACAAGATTTCTTATTGACAACTGGTTTTCAACATTTTATGACTAAGCAAGTAACTGGAGCAATTGCGATATCTGCATTTTGCTCTAAATGAATTAACATAATTAGGACCAGCCAGCATAATCTTATTAACAGCTTTCTGCATGAAGGCAAAAGGAAACAGGCATTGTGAAACACTGTTTCAAGCAGAAAAGGATATCCAGAAATACCAAATAAATGTTTCATCATCTTTATCTGCATGCAGTACTTCTGAAGTTATCATAAGCAAACACCAAATCTCCACACTGATGCCATGTGTCCACCTCGCTCAGTATGAGAGCTACTCAACTCCTCTTTCCCTGCCACTACCTTGGGATGTCATGACAGGTCAGAGAATAAAAAAATAAGACAATATGAATATTATAGCAATATTAGAGAGAAATGCTATGTCCTTTAATTGAATAGTAAAGCTATGCACTTCAATGGCATTGGAAATCCCACTACATTGCTTTCTCATTAGTACCCTCCTCCTTCTTACTGTCATTGGTAACACACTATTAGATTTGCTGCAAGATAAGCCCACATAATAAAAGTATATTTAAACTAAAACTCTCTATTATCTGACACAGAGAAATTATGGTCAATCACAGATAAGGACAGAGAACAAAGTAACAAAGAGTCCAGAAAAACACAGGTTAAAGTAACAAAGAATTAAGAACAAAGAGCTTTAGACAACTCTACAGAATAAAAACAAAATATGTTATTTAGACAAATTAAGATCAAATTAGACAAAATAACTGCATTCAAATACATGTGAGTTTGTTTTTTCTCCTTTTTAAAAACAAGGGCTTAGTAAGACCCTCCAGTTTCTCCAAAATAGAAAACAAACCACAGGTCTTAAGATCCAGAGAGAGTACATGCTTAAAGTGATGGACCAAATCATGATTTCTATGAACAGCAACAACATCTATATCTGCACTTTGAGCAGCCTATCACCCCAGAAGAGTAAAGCAGTTCAAACAACTAGCTCAGGGAATAAACCTCTTCCATTTCAGGACTCTATGCAACTAAATCAAATAGCAACTAAATAAATTCCTAAACAGACTTAATTCAAAACAGAAACAACTGAAATCTTCTGTCTCAATATAAGCTTAAAAAGCGGAAAAAAGCCAGGAAGCACAATACAGTATTTTACATACTTCTTTTCTCCCTTAATGCCCTAACAGACCAGAGAAACTGGTGAATGTTTTAGCTTCTAGACAAAGTTCTAATGGACAGAGATTCCTAAGTAGGTGCTTGCATGTTTACTGTCATCCTGCCTCAGGCAGAGAC